GGGCCCAAATGCCTTCTAAACATCACTGAATCCTGCTCTGCCTGTAGACAGAGGCTGTTCCAGTGTACAAGTTGTGCTTGGGTATCGCTTGGCACATTTGAAAGACCAAAATAGTTACCAATGGTTACAAAAATTATGGTTCTCTCGTGGAAGGAAAGCACTGTCATTTTAAAGAGATGCTTTCCTCCTCCTGGAGGAATGTAGACACTCTCTGGCCCCCACTACCCTTCTCCCCATTCCTTCCGGGAAAAGGTTTTCTCCTCCATCACCACCCGCAGGCGTAGTGCTTCAATGGGCAGAACCAGAATCCACTGAACGACTTACCATACACAGTAACAAGAGCATACTTTTCACCTTTGAATTTTTGTATTTTTTTATTGCATTAATCATTTGATCAGATAAAGCAGATCTGTTTGCCATGTGCCCTACATTCTACAGGTGTTGAGGTCTCCATGAGAAAACTCCCTCAAGCGCATCACAGCGTTTCCATGTGAGCTATGACAAATTAGAAATCAAGTGGCCATACTTAAAAAGGAGGCAAAGCTGGTTTCCATCTTTATTCAATGGAGAGTGAAAAGGAGAAGAAGCATTCATTGATAAAGGCTATTCCTGGCCAATTATTTAGCAACTGGTTTGACACTGATTTACCAACTGTCTAGAATGTCAAGTGTACCTACCAGGTGGTAACTGTGAGCTCTGTAGAATGACACAAACTAAACAAAACAAGGGATCAGGGAAGGAGGAAGGGCAACGAGTAGGAGGGAGAAAGAAAGGAAGAGGGATGGAGGGCAGGAGGATTGGAAAAGAAAAAGTTGTATAGCTTAGTTTGACCAAAAGTCAATTTTTAAATAAACAAGTACTAATAGCACCTCTCTTATGCGACTAAAAAAGCTCCCTTTCCAACAATGCTTTTTTGTTTTAATTAATACTTTCTTTCCACAGAGGAGAAAAAAAGGAAAAAATATTCCCTCTGGAGAGGAGAAAGAGGCCAACTATCAGAAACAATGAGCTAGATTTTTATCTTAAGTCATACTGTGCTCAAGACCCTCTAGGTAATTTTGAAATAATCACTTCCCTATTTCCTTTAGCACTGGAAAGACTATGTAAATGTTCTCCATTCAGCATGCTCTCTGGTCTTGGATTTATCTACTAATATAGTCGTGAAATTACCTTTGACATCCCCTGAAACCTGGCTTTCTGCTAGATTGCCATCCTTCATCCTCAGATCCTGAAACATCCATAGAAAGGGAACCCCAAAGTGCAAGCGCGCACACACCCACCCACACATAAACACACCCACACACCCACACACACACACACACAAACACACACACACAAACACACACACACAAACACACACACACATACACACACACAAACATACACACAAACACACACACATACACACACACACGAACACACCCCCACACACACAAACACACAGCCTTTCTGCCTTCCTAAATCTAAAAGGTATAGCAGCACCATAAATTAAAAGAAAAGAAAATTAATTTTGAGCAAAATTTTCTCATTCTCTAATCTAATATCAGGTTTCAGTTAGATATTAATATTTAAAATATCTTCAAATACATTATTCTACCTTCCATTTGAGGAAAGCAACAAATGTAAACACAAATATGGTCCCCTTCCCTTTGTAACCTTTCTTTTCTTTCCATTTTTTAATAGCTGCAAACTTACAGGACTTCTGCCTTTTAAATCAAGTATTACTAAATTTCCATTTCAGCACCTTCTGGGATGACAAGATTCCAAATATGTAATAAAAATAAACTGCCATTAATAGCTAGGTCTTTGGCAGAGTTACTGGCCTGTTTTGTTTACTTACCCAGTGCCAGTGTGATTTTCTACTTTGGGCACAGCTGTGAACAAGACTATTAATAATCAGGCTTCATCAAAAAGGAGTCAGTTCCTAGCTCTGTAATTCAATCATGTTTTTAACCTTTTACAAATCGAAGTTGTTCTGAGTGAGTTGTTCACATAGTTGAAGATTGACCTATTAAAATCTCTGATTTTTTTTCAGTCTCCCTCTGTCACCCAGGTTACAGGGCAGTGGCCTGACCTTGACTCACTGCAAACTGTGCCTCCCGGGTTCCATCGATTCTCCTGCCTCAGCCTCCCAAGTAGCTGGGACTACAGGCACCTGTCACCACACCCAGCTAATTTTTGTATTTTTAGTAGAGAAAGGGGTTTCACCACGTTGGCCATGCTGGTCTCAAACTCCTGACCTCAGGTGATCCACCCACCTTGGCCTCCCAAAGTGCTGGGATCATCAGTGTGAGCCACTGCACCTGGCCTCTGTTTTTTTGTTTGTTTGTGGTTTGTTTGTTTGTTTTTTAAACCTGTGTGGTTTATAAATAAAACTACTTCAGAAAGAGGGCGACTGGCACACAATCCCGAGAGCCTGTAAACCCCATCAACACCAGGCCTGCAAGGAAATGTTACAGAATTCAACAAGATGAAGGGTCCTCCTGAATGAGCACAAAGTAAGCATAAATAAAGTATAGTGTAAAATAATGTAATAAAGACTGGCTCATCCTAGTTTGTTCCAGGATAAGGTCACCACAGTATTTCACAGTTTCTTAGAAAAGCATTGATATACTGCTATTATTGATCTTTTCTTTATCAAGATTTCATTTGTACACTGAAAGACTCAGAGTTTAAAAAAAAAAAAAGTCATCAAGTTAAATCCATTATTTATTTTAGTCTCTCTCACAAGTGGCATCGATTTACTGAACCCTGACTGTGGGATATAAGCATGAGTGGAGAACGGGCGCCATGGCTCAGCCTGTAATCCCAGCACTTCAGGAGGCTGAGGCGGGTGGATCACTTGAGGCCAAGAGTTCGAGACCAGCCAGGCCAACATGGTGAAACCCTGGCTAAATACAAAAATTAGCCAGGCATAGTAGCACACACCTATAATCCTAGCTACTGGGGAGACTGAGACACAAGAATCACTTGAACCCTGGAGGCAGAGGTTGCAGTGAGCCGAGATCACACCATTGCACTCCAGCTGGGCAACACAGGGAGACTGCGTGGGTGAAAAATTTTAACCAGCCTCACTCCCATTACTTTCCTGCATTCAGTGTCATAATCTGACACTTAAGTGCTCTCTCTGCATGTCCCACATCAACCATTCTGGAACCACCACCCACTCCACTATATACTTGCTTATGTGCTCGAGAGCTTAGCTGCTCTAGGCATACTTGTGACCAAACAAATGTTAAGAGAGACAGTTGCTGTCTGATTTCACCAGACGGAGGTAAATGCTTGAGATTATCCATAAACGAATCCATTCCATAATGTCTCCTGCAGAAACTTTTTTTAATATTCTAATCAAAATTACTGTTGTCTTCCTCTATGCACACTTAGCCCTTTGTCACTGCTATTGACTTTATATTATTCTCTCTGTGTCTCCCCCCACCCCAAATGAAGACTCTTCGAGTATCAGGAACATAGGGGAACCATCACAGTGTATTATGATGGCTCTCAAAGTGTGGCCCCTGAACCAGTGGCATCAGAATCCCTGAGAACTTGTCAGAAAAGCAAAATTTCAGGCCCTGCCTCAGACCTACTGAATCAAACTCTAGGGGTAGGACCCCAGCAACCAGTGTTTTAACAAGCCCTACAGGTGATCCTAACGCAGGCTCAAAATTGAGAACCACTGGTATATTGAAATAAGTATGGGTTTGGGAAGCAGATAACCTAAGGCTTTTAAATTCCTACTGTGCCCCTTATTAGCCAATGACATTAATCAAGTAGTTTGCTATCTTTGAGTTGCCTCTACTCACTTATGAAATTCATGACTTGTGAAAATATGCTTAGGGGTGGATGCTTTTTTAAATAACAGTCTTTTCAGTAAGTTGTGCTGGGGCAATGGGATACCCACCTGCAAAAGAAGGAAAGTGGACCCTCTACCTATCCGATAAAAAAGTTAACTCAAAATGGATTAAAGATTTAAATGTGAGAGTTAAAGCTATAACACTCTTAGAAGAAAACGTAGGTGTAAATCTTTGTGACCTTAAATTAGGCAATGGTTTTTTAGATATGACACAAAGAGCACAAGAAACACAAGAAAAATACATAAATTGGACCACATCAAAATGTAAAACTTCTGTACTTGAAAGGACACTATTAAGAAAATAAGAAGACAACCCACAGAATGGGAGAACATTTTTGCAAATCGTGTATCTGATAAGGGACTTGGTTCCAGGATACATAAGGAGCTCTTACAACTCAACAATAATAAGACAAATTGCCCAATTTAAAATGAATAGATAGCCCCAGGTGCAGTGCCACATGCCTGTTGTCTCAGCTACTTGGGAGGCTGAGGTGAGAGGATCCCCAGAGCCCAGGAGTTTGAGACACAGCAGAACTCTGTCTCTTAAAAATAAAAAAAAGTTGGGTCAGGCACAGTGGCTCACGCCTGTAATCCCAACATTTTGGGAGGCTGAGGTGGATCTCCTGAGGTCAGGAGTTCAAGACCAGCCTGGCCAACATGGCAAAACCCCATCTCTACTAAAAAATAAAAAAATAAAAAATTAGCCAGGCATGGTGGCAGGTACCTGTAATCCCAGCTACTCAGGAGGCTGAGGCAGAGAACTGCTTGAACCTGGGAGGTGGAGGTTGCAGTGAGCCAAGATCACGCCACTGCACTCCAGCCTGGGCAACAGAGTGAGACTCCATCTCAAAAAAAAAAAAAAAAAAAGACTGGAAGTGTCTCCAAAGAAGATATATATATGGTCAACAAGCACATGAAAAGATGCTTAGTATCATTAGCCATCAGGGAAATGCAAATCAAAACAACATTAAAATATCACCTCACACCCAGTAGAATGGCGATAATCAAAACGACAGCAAAAAACAAGTTGGCGAGGATATAGAGAAATTGGAGCCTTTGTACACTGCCGATGGGAATGTAAATGGTGCAGCCATTCTGGAAAACAGTCTGGCAGTCCCTGAAAATATTAAACAAAGAATTGTAATATGACCCAGCAATTCCAGTGCTAGGTACATACCCAAAAGAAATAAAAACACATACCCACACAAAAACTTGCACATGAGTGCCATAGCAGCCTTGTTCATGACAGTCAAAAAATGGGAACAACCCAGATGTCCATCAATGGATGAATGGAAAAACAAAATGTGGTAAATCCACATAATGGAGTACTAATACATGCTACAACATGGGTGAGCCTTGAAAGCACTATGCTAAGTTGAAGGAGTCAGCCACAAAAGACCACATATTGCACAATTTGATGTATATGAAATGTCTAGAATAAGCAAATCTATGGAGACAAAAAGTAGATTAGTCTGGTTGCCTAGAGTTGTTGGAGCAGGATTGGGAGGAAATGGGAAAATGAGGAGTAACTGCTAACGGGTATGGGGTTCTTTTTGAGGTGATGATATAAATGTTCTACAATTGTGGGGATGGCTGCACAACACTGTGGATATACTATAAACCATTGAAATTTACTTTTAATTGTGTGAACTATTTGGTATGTGAATTCTATCTCAATAAAGTTGCAACAAAATAAAATGACCACAAAGATTTTCAGCCATTAAATATTAAAATATTTAATAAAAGAGGCAAGTTTTAGGAGGGAGCTTAAGAACAGTACAACTCTGAAATCTGAGGAAAAAACCCTGAAGTCAGTTCATTTGTATTCTCCTTGGTTATGACAAATCAAAAAAGCCAATACAGAAGGTAAGAATGAAATTAAAGAGAAGAGCTCTCCACTGCTGTTCTCTTCAGCTCAACATGGTGGCCTACCAGGCGACTGGCAGTCTCAGCCGCTTCTCTGCCTTCAGGATCCCCCGCTCCCGAGGTTATGTATGCTGCCATTTTACAGGGTCCTCTGCTTTGATGACCACAACCCATATTAACTATGGAGTCAAAGGGGACGTGGCAGTTATTTGAATTAACTCTCCCCATTCAAAGGTAAAAACACTGAATAAACAAAGAGCTGCATTCAGAGTTCACAGAAGTTATGGATGAAATCTGGGCTAGTGATCAAATCAGAAGTGTCATCCTTATCTCATCAAAGCCAGGCTGCTTTACTGTAGGTGCTGATATCAACATGTTAGCCACTTGCAAGACCCCTCAAGAAGTAACACAGATATCACAAGAAGCACCAAGAACATTTGAGAAATTGAAAAGTCCACAAAGCCTGTTGTGACTGCCATCAGTGGATCCTGCCTGGGAGGAGGACTTGAGTTTGCCATTTTATGCCAATACAGAATAGCAACAAAAGACAGAAAAAACAGTATTAGGTGCTCCTGAAGTCTCGCTGGGGATCTTACCAGGAGCAGGAGGTGCACAAAGGCTGCCCAAAATGGTGGGTGTGCCTGCTGCTTTTGACATGATGCTGACTGGTAGAAACATTCATGCAGATAGGGCAAAGAAAATGGGACTTGTTGACCAATTGGTGGAATCTCTGGGACCAGGACTAAAACTTCCAGAGGAACAGAAAATCAAATACCTAGAAGAAGTCACAATTACTTTTGCCAAAGGACTAGCTGATAAGATCTCTCTAAAGACAGACAAGGGATTGGTGGAAAAATTGACAGTGTATGCCATAACTATTCCATTTGTCAGAGAGCAAATTTACAAAACAAGTGGAAGAAAACGTGTGAAAGCAGACTAAAGGGCTTTATCCTGCACCTCTGAAAATAATTGATATGGTAAAGACTAGAATTGAGCAAGGAAGTGATGCTGGTTATCTCTCTGAATCTCAGAAATTTGGAGAGCTTGTAATGACCAAAGAATCAAAGGCCTTGATGGGACTCTACCATGGTCAGGTCCTGTGCAAGAAGAAAACATCTGGAGCTCCACAGAAGGAAGTTAAGCATCTGGCTATTCTTGGTGCAGGGATGATGGAAGCAGGCATCACCCAAGTCTCCATGGATAAGGGGCTAAAGACTATACTTAAAGATGCCACACTCACTGGGCTAGGCCGAGGACAGCAACAAGTGTTCAAAGGACTGACTGACAAAGTGAAGAAGAAAGCTCTAACATCATTTGAAAGGGATTCCATCGTCAGCAACTTGACTGGGCAGTTTGATTACCATGGGTTTTAAAAAGACCAACATGGTGATGGACACTGTGTTTGAGGGCCTTAGTTTTAAGCACAGAGTGCTAAAGGAAGTAGAAGCGGTGACTCTAGATCACTGTGTGTTTGCCAGCAACATATCTGCTCTCCCAATCAGTGAAATTACCGCTATCAGCAAAAGACCTGAGAAGGTGATTGGCAGGCACTACTTCTCTCCTGCGGACAAGAGGCAGCTGCTGGAGATGATCACAACCGGGAAGACTTCCAAAGACACCAGTGCCTCAGCTGTAGCAGTCCGTCTCAAGCAGGGGAAGGTCATCATTATGGTTAAGGATGCACCTGGCTTCTATACCACCAGGTGTCTTGCACCCATGATGTCTGAAGTCATCCGAATCCTCCAGGAAGGAGTTGACCCGAAGAAGCTGGATTCCCTGACCACAAACCTCGGCTTTCCTATGGGTGCCGCCACACTGGTGGATGAAGTTGGTGTGGATGTAGCGAAACATGTGGCGAAAGATCTGGGCAAAGCCTTTGGGGAGCAGTCTGGAGGTGGAAACCCAGAACTGCTGACACAGATGGTGTCCAAGGGCTTTCTAGGTCACAAGTCTGGGTAGGGCTTTTCCATCTGTCAGGAGGGTGTGAAGAGTAAGAATTTGAATTCTGACATGGACAGTATTTTAGCAAGTCTGAAGATGCCTCCTAAGTCTGAAGTCTCCTCAGATGAAGACATCCAGTTCTGCCTAGTGACAAGATTAGTGAGTGAGGCAGTCATGTGCCTGCAAGAGGGGACCTTGGCCACACCTGCAGAGGGAGACACTGGAGCCATCTTTGGGCTCAGCTTCCCACCTTGTCTTGGAGGGTCTTTCCGCTTTGTGCATCTGTATGGCACCCAGAAGATAGTGGACGGGCTCAAGAGGTATGAAGCTGCCTATGGAAAAGAGTTCACCCCATGCCAGCTGCTAGTTGACCACACTAACAGCCCTAACAAGAAGTGTTACCAGTGAGCAGGCCTCATGCCTCACTCAGTCAGTGCACTAACCCCAGCTTCCGGCAGAGGTGGTTCTCCACCAGAGTGGCGTCTAGATTTATCAGAGTTACGAGAAAGAAGACAAACTCTGGCATTGGGTTTGCTCCCTGATTAAAGTGCCTTCAGCCAAGATCATCTCTCCCTCCTGGTGAAGTCTGACTGTGAATTAGAGTTAGCACTTCCTAGTGGAAGGTGGAAGCCCCTGTGCTCATTGTATAAGCCCTGAGGCCTAGAGTGGCAGCCAAGAGCTGTCTGGAGCCATCTCTCTCCCTGTTCCTCCCAGGAAGCCAGGGTGGCCAGGGGTGGCGAGGGCAATTCTGCACCCAGCCAAACATATAACAATAAAAACCAAACTCTGTTAAAAAAAAAAAAAAAAAAGAATGAAATTAAAAACATGAATTGCAACAGGCTTTCAACATCCTCTTTTTATGTTGTTAGCAAGCCAGAAAACACATTCCCCATGGCATATGTTACAATTTAAATTTCGTTCAACAATTAAATCATTGTCACATTAATAGTGGTAGTAGGATTTTAGAGCTGGGGCCCCAATGATTATCTATTCCAACTTCCAGATTTTACAAAAATAGACTGCTCTAACATTTTTCATACAACTCCACACAGCTTCCCCATCAGTGTGCAGACGTTAATTTTTGCTTAACGTAATTCTAATAAACTGTTTTCTGGGACATGTGTTTCAGCCTCAAAAATATGATTTTTTAAAAAATTTCTTACACTGTCTTTTCACATTTAGTTAACATGAGCCTTTCTTTGTTTCAATGAGAGGTAGTGATGCTTTCCTTTGTGATACACACATCATAAAACAGTCGCCTTCAGCTTTTGTTTTTTAATAGCTTGCTTACACAAGTTTTACAGAGCTATGAAAGAATCAAATAGCAATCAAAATATTCTTCATAATCATCATCAATTTCTAGTTGATTCCCAGTGTTAACTTTTTCAATCTGAGTTCAAAATTTGGTGTGCCTGCATTTTAATTCAGGGCCAGATATTTCCCAGTGTTCGATTGTTTCAAATCCAGAAAAAGAGAAGAGGAGTCTGGCATTTTACATTCCAGATTTCAAAACAACTATTTCCAAAGAAAAAATATCGTAAAATATTTTTTAAAAACAAAGGTAGTTTTCTCATTTCTGTTTTTCTACTTGCCACATTCTTCAGGTTTTCGTATTGACTCCTCTTCGGGGGAAGAGTAAATCTTTTTGTGACATATTTGTCACAAAAAGTGTATATTTTAATTTACATGGTGCATTGGGCCATTTTTGCATTACTGTAAAGAAATATCGGTGACTGAGTAATTTACAAAGAAAAGAAGTTTAATTGGCTCACGGTTCTGCAGGCTGGACAAGAACGATGCTGGCATCTACTCGGCTTCTGGGGAGGCCTCAGGGAGCTCTCACTCATGGTAGAAGCAGAAGCAGAAGCATGCACGTTACATGGAGAGAAAGGTAGTAAGGCGGGGGAGGTGCCACACACTTAATCAGATCTCGTGAGAACTCACACCAGGGGATGGCGTCAAGTCATTCATGAGGAGTCTGCCCCCATGATCCACACACCTCCCGACAGGACCCATCTCCAACACTGGGCATTACATGTTAACGTGAGATTTGTTCAGGGACAGATATCCAAACTATTTCACAAGGTGTCATGTAACAGGCCAGAATCACTAGAAACACCAACATCCTTTAAGACTGAATTATGCATCTCAATAATTCTATGTAACTATAGGAATAATATAGGTTATAAATGGGACCCAGTCATTTACAAAATTCATTCACAGATCTGAAGAGGTAAATGATCATCTAAGCAAATACTGAGAGAGTCAGGCTGAAAATGTTGGCCACTATTATTATTAGCACATTTCCTTCTCTTTCACAAATAAAAATCGTACAAAACAGTAGTGGCTTCTTGATCCACAAAGAAGCGTTATTACATCTTTATTAAATCTATCTTTTGATGGAAATATTTTATAACCTTCTGAAGAAAGAACTGACATAAAAATAGAATAATCTGTCCATTTATCACCTTTCCCTAATTATCCTTTCCTCCTCATTCCATTGTCACCACACTCTTCCAGGTCCTTATCAAATTACGCCAGTATTACTCTATCAGCCTTTTGCCCAGGCTCCCAGCCCCTACTTTGACAACATCTGGCTTAATATTAAAATAACTAATTTTACTACAACACCACTTTCCACAGAATCATTCTATGCCTATAAGACTGCAGAAGCCCCATAACCCACCATTGTGTCTAAATTCCTCTGTCCAGCTTTCGGGGCCTCACATATTGTGATATCACCCAATCTTTCCAAAAGTATTTCATGTTCCCCGGCACATAAACCCTCCCCCACTCAGGAAGGCAGATGTTCCACAAGACAAGAAATAATGGGAGGAGAATACGGTTTGGGAAATAATAATACTTTCTGTTATTCATTAAGTGTATGCTGTGTGCCATGAATTGTGCCCAGCACATTACATGCGCTGTTTCGTTTTACCCACACGTAAACCTTACGTGACAGGTTTCACGATTTTACGGAGTGGAAGCTGAGCCACACGGAGACTTTCTTCTTTAAGGTCGTTAAGCTATTAAATGGCAGAGCCGGCAGCCTTGTGTCTCACTCCAATGCTCAAGTTCTTGTCCACATGTTGAGCAGCACTTATAATAAAGGTGTATCAGGCAGGTGGATGTGCAAATCTGAAGCTCAGTGGGGAGAAACAAGGGTTATATTTTTCCATCACTGGCTTCTAGGTAACTGCACCTGTTGTTATGAGTGAGCTTGTCTACAGAAAAGGTGTGTAACGAAGAGAAGAAACCAAGAACAGAACTCTAAACAATGGCACCGCTTTCAGAGTGGACAGAAAAGAAGGCCCCACAAAAGACTGAGAAGGTGTCAGGAGAACCGGAAGAGCTATCCAGTACAAATCAAAAGTGGGGTTTCAAGTCACAATAAAGGGGAGTAGTCAGCTGTATAAAGAAAAAAAAATCAAATAAGGTCAAGTAAGATAAAGATTGAAAACTGCTCATTAGAACTGGTGGTGAAGAGCTGGGATAACTCATAACTTATCATCCAAACCAGGACAGTTTTGAGGGTGAAAGAGAGTTCTATTAACAAATACCACAGCAACACCGAACATGGTGGAAACCAACACATAAGGTCACCCTATTAAGAAATCAGTAGTGGCCCTTTGTGAGACCCATATGAAGAGAGTAATGCAGTGACCACCACAATGATGTGAGTTCAGGAATGAGTGTGTGTTGAAAATAGCATGTAATCTTTCAAAAAACTTAGTTTATTCCTTCTTTACTCCCACTGCTTCACTTGACTAGCCTTTAGAAAAAGAAAGGCTTGGTGTGATGAATGGGTGAGAGAAAAGGTGAGTGTTAGAGGTGAAACTGCCCTTCACTTACTCCTTATCCATTTGTTTGACTTCTTCCTCTTGACTCTACTGAAACTACTTCCCCAAATGTCCCCAGTGACTTCCAACCAGTGCTGGGAGTGAGTGACCTTTACTGTATCCTCTGCTTCATTAACTTCCACAGCATTTGGCATCGTCATATGCCCCCAGTCCTATCTTGAGACTACAGCTCTGAATCATACCTACTGTCTCTCTTTCTCTGACTACATCTCTCTGCTCTCTTTTGCTCATTTAATCTTAAAAATGGTGTGTTCTAAGTTTCTGCCTGATACACTTTCTCTCCATCTCTCTGCTCTCTTCTTGCTCATTTAATCTTAAAAATGTTGGTGTGTTCTAAGTTTCTGCCTGATACACTTTCTCTCCTTTGTCTATTCTCCCTCCCTCAGTTACCTCATCCATAATCACTGTTTTCACCCTCACCAGTCATGCAAATGACACCTAAATCTTTTTCTCTGTCCTCAAATTCTGCCATGAAATGATTTTCATTTCAAACTGATGACCATATACCTCTCTCCAGATAGTGGGGCTGCAACACCTCCCTAAATATGTCAAAAGCATACAATATCCTTTTCTTAAATTAGCAGCTCACAAATGGTCTATTTCTATTAACTCCCGAAAAAATGAAGTCTAAATCCTCAGCCTAGCATTTAAGGATATTCATGATATATGATATGACCAAAGACTACTTGTAAAGATTTTGCTTCCTCTACACGTACAGCAAGGTCTAAGCACAAAGTGCTCTGTTATTATCCTCTGAACATTACCTTGGAACCCAATCTTAGAGAGGCTGGGATTATAACACCGATGAATGCTACTGTTTCTCCTAGAATTCTCTTCTCTCCTCTACACTGGTCAAGATTAAGCTAATCAGAAATCTTGGTGAGCATCCTTATTAAATGTGTCCTCCATTCTTCAGTCTCAAATTTTGCTTTGTATTACTCTTAAGGTACTTGTCATTTTCTGTCTTATCATAACATATGCATGTGTCTTATCCTCCCTAGTATATTGGGAACTCCTTTAAAAGAGGATATGTGACTAGGCACGGTGGTTCATGCCTGTAATCCCAGCAGTTTGGGAGGCCAAGGCGTGTGGATCACCTGAGGTCAAGAGTTCGAGACCAGCCTAGCCAACATGGTGAAACCCCGTCTCTACTAAAAATACAAAAATTAGCTGGGTGTGGTGGCACGCACCTGTAACTCCAGCTACTCAGGAGGCTGAGGCAGGGGAATCGCTTGAACTTGGGAGGCGGAGGTTGCAGTGAACTGGGATAGTGCCACTGTACTCCAGCCTGGGTGAAAGAGTGAGACTCTTTCTCAAAAAAAAAAAAAAAAAAAAAAGAGGGTATGTCTTTTCACAGATGTACAACAGGTATTTACTGTTTAGAATCGATAGTTATAATTAGTAGAATAGATGCATTTGACATCTTAATACATCTTACTTGAAAATCCATTATTTTTATCACCCTCAAAAGTAAAAGAAAAACTGACAGCTATTTATGCTCTGATATATTAAACATCCTCAGTAATCATTATTTTAAAACTATATCTCCAGTTTATGAACATATAATTTGACAGAACAGTTTATCAAGTAGATTAATTTTTAGGCACATCAAGATTAATATGATCACTTAGTAGAGTATATTTAGGCAATTAAATTTTTATAATATAAGTAAGTACAACAGCAAAACCCTTTAATGCCTACTGTCAAAGCCTAGAATTGTGAATTAATTGATTATAATAGGTTGTGATTTGAAGTGGAACTTCTTAGTCATTGATTGATTAAACCAAGTAATGCCTACAAAACCTATTTTTAACACCTCAGTGTATATCACCTGTTGTTCTTTGTTTAACACAACTGTACCTTTAAATACAGCTAATGCCAGATGGTCTCCTCAATAAAAAAACAGCAGGAGGCAACATATTAATGCCAC